TCTCTACTAAAAATACAAAAATTAGCCAGGTGCAGTGGCGGGTGCCTATAATCCCAGCTACTCAGGAGGCTAAGGCAGGAGAATTGCTTGAACCCAGGAGGTAGAGGTTGCAGTGAGCTGAGATCGGGCCATTGTATTCCAGCCTGAGAGACAAGAGCAAATTCTGTCTCAAAAAAAAAAAGATCTACATTTTCCTTCTCAGTTAAGTTCATCAGAACCTTGGTTCTCTGAAGAGAAAAGTTGACAACTGATGTGTGTGATGTGGGCAAAAAGAAAATTGCAAAAATGAAGGCTTGTTTTAGGCCCCATTATGAAAGCAGGTGTGCTTGGTGGAGTTGGGGTAAATTTGCTCCATTCAATGCTAAGTGCCAGACTCTTCTCACAGTTTGGAAATGCTTAGGAACTGAAGTGAAAATATCCACAACTTTGCAACTAGGTTCTAGCTTTCTGGTGGAAATATTTGGGAATGTCAATCCAGCGGTCTTAAAGGGGAGAGACCAGAAGAGGAGAGGTTCTCACTTGGGTTCGCATGGACATAAAAATAGGAACAACAGACACTGGGGACTCTAAAAGGCAAGAGGGAGTGAGAGGGGCAAGGGCTGAAACTTCCTATCGAGTACTATGTTCACTATCTGGGTGATGATGGGATCAATAGAAGCCCATTCTCAGCACCATGCAGTATATTCTTGTAACAAACCTGCACATATACCCCCTGGATCTAAAACAAAAATGGGAACTGAATTAAAAACTTTGGATTAGAATTTTGACTTGGGATAGTGGAAGCACACTCAATATTATTAGATCATTTTAAATTTGGGAAAAAAGAAATCCATACGTCTCCCACCCCTATCCCTACTACCTCCCAAACACACACAAACACAGAAACAAAACCCAACCAAATCTTGGCTAGAGGGAATAAAATGTATATTTAAGAAGACTGAAAAACAGGATAAAGCACAAAACCAAGTTAAAGGCTTTTTGGTGTGGTAGTTGTGGAAATAATTGTTAAGAATTTTCTTTTGGGGATTGTTTTAATGTACAGTATTTGGAATAATCAGATTTTTACACTGTTTCTACTTCTATAAATTTTCTAGCCAAGGTGGGCTGAGACTGTCTGGGCAACCTTTTAAAAATACAACTCAGGTGGGCACGGTGGCTCACTCCTGTAATCCCAGCACTTTGGGAGGCCGAGGTGGATGGATCACTTGAGGTCAGGAATTCAAGAACAGCCTGGCCAACATGGTGAAACCCCATCTCTACTAAAAATGCAAAAATTAGCCAAGCATGGTGGTGGGTGCCTGTAATCCCAGCTACTCGGGAGGCTGAGGCACAAGAACTGCTTGAACCCGGGAGGTGGAGGTTGCAGTGAGCCAGGATCGTGCCACTGCACTCTATCCTGGGCAACAGAGCAAGACTCTGTCTCAAAAAACAAACAAACAAACAAACAAGCAAAAAAGTCATTTATGAATGTTCACTGATAATTTCTCTTATTGCTCTCAGCTCCTTCCTGCCCTCAAACTACTGTGCTTTTTTTCTGACCCAAGACTTTATTCACAGTGACTTTTTTTTTTTTTTTTGAGATGGGGTCTTGCTCTGTCGCCCAGGCTAGAGTGCAGTGGCACGAACTCTGCTCACTGCAAACTCCGCCTCCTGGGTTCATGCCATTCTCCTGCCTCAGCCTCCCGAGTAGCTGGGACTACAGGCGCCCGCCACCACGTCCGGCTAATTTTTTTTTTGTATTTTTTAGTAGAGACAGGGTTTCACCGTGTTAGCCAGGATGGTGTCTCGATCTCCTGACCTCATGATCTGCCTGCCTCAGCCTCCCAAAAGTGCTGGGATTACAGGCATGAGCCCAGCTATTCACAATGACTTTTACAACTCTACTGGGGGAAAAAAAACCGACAAGCCTCCCACCCCAACTATCTTTGTTCTCAAACATCTATCTGCCTGCAATAAAAACTAGAGTTTATCTTTATGCCCTAGGCACATCTAACCAGAGAGTTCTCAGTCCTTGACTGATGTACAGAAAGATAATAGGCTTGCACCCTGTGGAGCAGTGCATTTTCCTATTTCTCATTGGGCTTCCTAGAAAGAACGTTCAAGGAGCTTGGTGTCAGATACTAGAAGTCCACAGGTGCTTTCTGAAAATAAGCAAGAAACAATGCAGCTTTCTAGCAATCAGTAACTCCCTAGTCCCACAGACACATGTCTTCAAGCAACAGACTTGATAGGCCTCATTACCCGCACTGTACCATGCACTGGCTGGATCCACAGCATCCCTGATAATGGGTTATAACATGTATTTACTGATTTCAAGTAATATTTCCATGTCTGCTCAGTCTAGGCTAAACGGATGTCCCTTGAATTATCAAAACTTTATTAAGAACCCTTCAATCTAGTTTTGGCTTTCATTCTAAGGGTTGGCTAGATACTGAAGATGAAATACAATCAAAATGCAGAGTCTCTCTCCCAATGGTTATCTCAACACAGAAATTTAAACACACTCACACACACAATTTCTACTGGCTATACATACAAATAGTTTGGTGAGCTAAATGAATTTTGAACTCTCATATAATTCAAATTCATCTTTCTCTTTAAATAAGCATTCATTCATTGAGTACCCAGTATGTGCCAGGTCCCCATAATAGATTCTAAGGTTGACAAAACACAGTTCCCCCACCAAAATAACATGGTATAATGGAATATACTGACAGACAAATGGAGAATTGCAACTCACTATATTAAGTGCTCTAAGGGACATATGCACAGTTGCTATGATAGCAGAAGAGGAACCATTGGTATCCACTTGGGAATAAAAGCCAGGAAATGGGTATCTATAGGTCAAAGCTAAATATACAACCAATAGAAGATAGGTTGTTATTTTTAAAAAACTGGTTTCAAAATGCCAGTCTGTGGATGGGCCCCAATCCACAATAAAGAAGTTAAATGCATTCAACTGAAGACTGTTTTTCTGAGATTAAATCCTTCTAACATCTTATTAAGATCATCCTTTATTTTCTTAAATCAAAGTGAGAGATGTTAACTATTCTGCATTTGTTTTTCAAAGTCATGATCAAACAAAATAAATAGCTGGCAACCCTATGTTGGTTTCCAAAATTCTTTCTGAATATTGGAATTACAAAATATGAATTACAAAATATGAATGAATATATATATACATATACACATATGGTCTTGTGACATAAATGACACTGGAAAAGCAATTTTTGTTTGAAAGAATGAATGACAGGTATGGTGGCTCAAGCCTGTAATTCCAGCACTTTGAGAGGCCAAGGTGGGCGGATCACTTGAGCTCAGGAGTTTGAGACCACCCTGGCCCAATATGGTGAAACCCTGTCTCTACTAAAAAAGTACAAAAATTAGCCGGGCGTGGTGGTGCGCGCCTGCAGTTCCAGCTACTTGGGAGGCCAAGGCACGAGAATTGCTTGAACCTGGGAAGGCATAGGTTGCAGTGAGCCAGCC